TTTCGCCCACATATAATTTGTTGCAGTCATTACAAGGGATTATTTATTCATGTTTTCCATTTATACGGGTGGGTCATTCGGATAATCCGGGGGGTGGGTCATTGGTCTAATCCGGGGGGGGGGGACATGGACCTGCTCCGCATGGGTCAGTAGGCCTGTTGCAGTGTTCCTTCTTTCTTATGTTCTTATATTCTTATACACCTCGATCATATCCCCCCTAATTCTACGCCTTTCGAGAGAGTGCAGATTCAGGGCCCTCAGTCTATCCTCATAGGGAAGATTTCTGATACATGGGATCATCTTTGTCATCCTCCTCTGTACGTTTTCCAGAGCATTTATATCCAAACATGTATATAAATCCTGCTTTAAAAAGTCACTAGCTGAATATATATAATGAATCTAGCTAATAAAGATTGCCGTGTGCTAGGAACACTCTAAATTAGAAGAGAAAATAGCAAAGGAGGAACCAGGCATTATAGCCCTCACAGAGACAAATACTCGAGGGGTGATGAATGCAATTTGTTCTTGATGGGTGCCACATAATGATAAAATAAGCGAATAGGGGAGGAAGGATAAAAGAGGAGTTAGACAGTATTGATGTAAAAAATAATGTTGCCGATTACTGAAAACGGGAACCCTTAACACTGGAAAAATAAAAAAAACTACACAATAGGAACAATAATATTTAGACTGATGAAGATAATAGCAAAATAGGTCTGGCTGTATGCTTATGCCTTACAGTTTAAGAGACTGATCACCCAGGGTGACATACTAACCACGTCAAAGCTATCTTTACTACCTCCAGCATCATATTCGACTGATGGAACCTAGTGTGCTGGCGACACATTTCTGCAATAAAGATACCAGAGTCTTGCAAATGTGTCGCATTTATCAACCCTCTACTGAGAAACAGGAAAACCAGAGTGCACATGATAAATTAACATTTTAACAACCACGGTCTTGAAGACAATAGCAACCACGGTCTTGAAGATAACCACGGTCTTGAAGATAACCACGGTCTTGAAGACAACAACCACGGTCTTGAAGACAACAACCACGGTCTTGAAGATAACCACGGTCTTGAAGATAACAACCACGGTCTTGAAGCTAACCACGGTCTTGAAGATAACAACCACGGTCTTGAAGATAACCACGGTCTTGAAGACAACAACCACGGTCTTGAAGATAACCACGGTCTTGAAGACAACAACCACGGTCTTGAAGACAACAACCACGGTCTTGAAGACAACCACGGTCTTGAAGATAACCACGGTCTTGAAGATAACAACCACGGTCTTGAAGATAACCACGGTCTTGAAGACAACAACCACGGTCTTGAAGACAACAACCACGGTCTTGAAGATAACCACGGTCTTGAAGATAGCAACAACCACGGTCTTGAAGATAACAACAACCACGGTCTTGAAGATAACAACCACGGTCTTGAAGATAACCACGGTCTTGAAGATAGCAACAACCACGGTCTTGAAGATAACAACAGCCACGGTCTTAAAGACAACAACAACCACGGTCTTGAAGACAACAACCACGGTCTTGAAGATAACCACGGTCTTGAAGACAACCACGGTCTTGAAGACAATAACAACCACGGTCTTGAAGACCACAACCACGGTCTTGAAGATAACAACAACCACGGTCTTGAAGATAACAACAACCACGGTCTTGAAGATAACCACGGTCTTGAAGATAGCAACGACCACGGTCTTGAAGATAACCACGGTCTTGAAGATAACCACGGTCTTGAAGATAACAACAACCACGGTCTTGAAGATAACAACCACGGTCTTGAAGACAACAACCACGGTCTTGAAGATAACAACCACGGTCTTGAAGATAACCACGGTCTTGAAGATAGCAACAACCACGGTCTTGAAGATAACAACAACCACGGTCTTGAAGACAACAACCACGGTCTTGAAAGCAACAACAACCACGGTCTTGAAGGCAACAGCAACCAGTCTTGAAGGCAGCAACAACCACGGTCTTGAAGGCAACAACAACCACGGTCTTGAAGACAACAACAACCACGGTTTTGAAGACATCAACCACGGTCCTGAAGACAACAACAACCACGGTCTTAAAGACAACAACCACGATCTTGAAGACAACAACCACGGTCTTGAAGGCAACAACAACTACGGTCCTGAAGACAACAACAACCACGGTCTTGAAAGCAACAACAACCACGGTCTTGAAGGCAACAACAACCACGGTCCTGAAGACAACAACAACCACGGTCTTGAAGGCAACAACAACCACGGTCCTGAAGACAACAACAACCACGGTCTTGAAGGCAACAACAACCACGGTCTTGAAGGCAACAACAACCACGGTCTTGAAGATAACAACCACGGTCTTGAAGATAACAACTACAGTCTTGAAGGCAACAACAACCACGGTCATGAAGGCAACAACAACCACGGTCTTGAAGGCAACAACAACCAGGGTCATGAAGGCAACAACAACCACGGTCTTGAAGGCAACAACAACCAGGGTCTTGAAGATAACCACTGTCTTGAAGATAACAACCACGGTCTTGAAGATAACAACAACCACGGTCTTGAAGACAACAACAACCACGGTCTTGAAGATAACAACAACCACGGTCTTGAAGACAACAACAACCACGGTCTTGAAGACAACAACAACCACGGTCTTGAAGGCAACAACAACCAGGGTCTTGAAGACAACAACAACCACGGTCTTGAAGATAACAACAACCACGGTCTTGAAGACAACAACAACCACGGTCTTGAAGATAACAACCACGGTCTTGAAGACAACAACAACCACGGTCTTGAAGACAACAACAACCACGGTCTTGAAG